GCATGTCAACCCGTGGAAAAGAGCAAAAGCCATCTTCCTGGCTTGTGTTTTGCCCGACACGTGTAACGTGCCACCCCGTACTTGTGACACGTGTGGCCATGTGATTTCCAGTTAAATGGCCTATCGCGGCATGCCAGTCTCGTGTTACTACGCGCTACAAGAGTAGAACTCTCACGTAAAGCCTAAAAATGGACAAGATCGGCAAAATACAGCTTCGCAAACAATGTGCACGAGTCACATGACACGTGCAGCATGACATCATACACATTTCAGTGATTGCCCGTTAGATCACCTATCGAAGCATGCCAGTCTTTGTGTACTGCAAACCCTGGTTTCTGAGATATCACGAAAACGTGCAAGCCCCTCAAAAGAGCAAAATCGTGTAAATCCATAGTTAACACACGGGCGCCACGACAAGCCACACGTGTCACCAAACATGATCATGTCGCTCCTTCCATTCATCACTGAAGCGCCAATCAAAGGCTCGTTAGTGCCATAAGTTCCGAAATGTGGCAGAAAATGTGCAAATCCACAGAAGAGAACAAAATTCATCTGTGATCCCGTGCCGTGTGATAAGCGCGACCGTACCGTTTTGAATATTCAAACCTGGCATCTTGAAGTTGTCTTGCAAAAAGCAGCGCAACAGTGCGTTGCACAAACTCGCGATGCGACTGAAAGTGTATCCACGCCAATTGCGAATGCAGGAAAACAAAATCCATGCTTGTACGCGCACGGCGACCGCAATGCACGGCGCGCCGCCGACCGCCATGCCTGAGCCGAGATTGCCTCCGCGTACCACCCGTCCGCCGGCCCGCTACCGGGCCCGTCCTTTAATACGAAGGCAGACGATGTGAGCAAAGTCGAAAGCCTGCCGCGCGAACGGCCATTTTAACCCCTAACGCCTTGAGTATATGCCGGGAGCCGGGGCAGCGACTGGCCCCCGTCGCGGCGAAAATGCCGCCATGCAGCCACTTAGTTTAGGCCCATTGGCGAGCGAAATTTTTAAAATGCGGTCAACAAAAAAGTGCATCAGAGACAGGACGAATCGGCCGACACGCTGATGAAGGTTTTAACGCTAGATCACGTATCGTTTTGACGGTAGCGGCCTCTATTCGGCTTGGGTTTCTAAAACTGGGGTTGTTGCAACCTGTTTTGCAATTTGCGACGCAACGGTGCGTTGCACAAAATCGCGATGCACGCTGAAAATGTAGCCGCTTTACTTGTGAATTCTGGGAAAGAACATTCAGGCCTCTACCGCCCTTGCGAGCCCAGATACAGTGTCCTAGAATTGCCGACTTTGGGTGTCAAGCAACACCCTATGAGGAGGAATTTTGCACTCCTTTTCCCCATATTTTGTGAAGTTTTCACCCCTGCCTAACATTGTCTAATCGCACATGCCAAACCCCTATTTCCCTTTCTGAGGTTTTCAGATTTCCTCCATAACCGAGCTCACTTGAAACCACCAAGGGCTATGGCCTGCCTCACCTACATCTGAATCATGTCTATGTATGCACAGAGCAAGGGCGCTCGGTACCTCCAAGCCCAACAACCCCAGCGGGCCCAGCCGCTGGCACGCATTAAGTTTGGTTTGTTCACAAGATGCATCACAATATACACCTGTGCGCAAAATGCAAGGCTTTCACGCATCCCCTATTTTTTTGGTCTGACCACCACGCCACGAAAGCAGAGCCTGGTGCAAACACCAGCAAGGCCTGGTAGAGAATTTTACTCCGTTTTTTCATTTTTCCCGAGGAAACTTGACCACTGAATTGCATCACTCCCGAAATGCAGGAGTGAAAAGTTCAAGAAACCTCTTCTAACTTAAACTTACAAGATGAATTTCACCATTTGAGCACTTGTATTAACAGATTTTCAGTCAAATCAGTCGATTACAAAATTTTGCGAGAAAAGTACCAGTCTTTATATTTATTTACCTACTTTTGTTTTTCTTGGCATCATACGAGTGCAACACCACTTGACTCGTCCATCCTTTTCGATTGCCTTTAGAGGTACCATCTGCTGCTTACAATTTTGATCAATTTCTTTGCAAGATGCTCCCAGTGCAAACTTGTACGTACTTCACACATAAGTTGGATTAATTCTCCAGCCGCCCAAACATGTTTGATATGCGCCCAAGCGTGAACAATTCACAGGGATTGAAGGAGACAATTTGAAGCACGGCTCTCATTTTTACCGCAATTTTTGCCGTCTTAAACCCTCGGTTAACCGTTTTCTTGGTTCATGCCGGTGCTCAACAATGATAAATCTACGCCTTTCGAGTGTCTGACTCACGAGGCTACCTGACAAGGCTATCGCGATGCTGCCATACAGAGCTTTGGGACAGACTTGACGCAGCTAATACAAAAGTGTTTCATGGCAAAATTCTGCCCTCTGGAGATGTTTATCATGCACACCTCTTATTTGTTTCGCATTTTAATCTCGTAGGTTGGTGGGCATGACTGATATTTATATTTGGAGGCGGGAAGGGGGAGTGGGATGACCCTGTCTGCCAGCAGGCCATGCAAAAGGTACTGACTTTTGTTTTTTTTTTGGGGGGGGGGGAGCAGGAAGAAGCCAGTAAGTCTCCTGTGGACCAAGTAGTTGCTTACCTTACCTGCTTTCAACACATGATTGGTAACCAGAGTTAGCCATTTTCTATTGTAATCCATCGAGTTTTGTCGTAAGACAAATTATGATGCCACAAGGCATGCAATGGGCTAATTTTGTTCCGTATGTTTGTAATTTGCCCCAAATTTCTTGAAGTGTTCCCTCATGTCTGCTTTAACCAGATGTTTTGTATAGTTGTCTTGGTTTGCTGACCGGCAAATGACTGTACTGTATACATGCACTATATTTTTAGCACAGGTATACTCCAACCTGCATAGCAATTATAGTATGAGTAAAATATTAGTATGTAACAAATAGACCATCCAATTTAAAATATGAAGCCAACATATTACACTTCGTCATTAAATATGAATAAGCAAGCCCAAATGGATGCATTTGCTGCAGCTGAAAAGGCAAGCAGCGATACTGGCATGGTCATGTAAAAGTTATGCTAATTTTGGAGAAGAGAGATTGTTTTGTGGAACATACCCGTCATTGCCCTTGACATAAGTTAACCATGATAATCAAAATAAGTTGTTCAAAGTGATTTAAAGTGTGTCGATTTGTATGTTGTCAACTTTGTCTGATGTCGACAAACATGCACAAATGAACTGGTTAAAAATGCAAGTTCAAACCCGCCAAAAACTAGCTTTAGGTATCATGTTGTTATCACAAGTGCTGCTGCCAACAGATAGGTGAGTTGAGATGATGTTCATAAATGGGCTACTCTAAGTTAGGTTAAGTCGGTCAAGTGCATGACAAGTAGCAATAGGAATTGCGCAAGAATCAGAAGCTCACAACTGCTGCTATGTTTATAGTTTCATCTCATCCAGTTAAACAGTTTATACAGGATGAGATGATGTAAGGCCGCTTTAGGTTAGGTATAGGCTACTTTCATGGAAATAAGCATTGACATTTTGTAAGAAACAGTGGCAGAATGTTTGTTTTCCCTGGCCCCATCTTAAAAGAAACCAGAAGTATGTCAATTGTGTGTGACTGGGTGATGGGCTTATGTGTAGGAGTCCAAGGTTTTTTGTTTGAGTGTTTTACGTGTGTTGAATTTTCTTTTGTTATTTCGTTATTGAATTCCTTTGCTTGGTTTTTATTTAAAAGTGCTGCGGAAGGGAATTGAAAAGTGCAGCATCAGATTACTGGTGTTGATGATTCGTCATGCTCATAATACTGCCATGAAATTAATATGCTTTAATACGCGTCCGGTTGGCCGGCTAGACACCCTTTGCTCGGGGGGGGGATCAATTTGCCTCCCCCCTACAGACATGTGCCTGGTTCCTAATATTGGTTCCTGGTTCCTATTGGTTCTTTCGACAAAACAAGACCCTGAATCTTGGCTCTCACTAGTTCTTTCAACAAAACAAGACCACGGATCCTGGTTCTCACTGGTTCTTTCGACAAAACAAAACCCTAGATCTGCCCAGCCGCTTCTTCGTCTGGCCCTGCCTGCTGTTGACTGTCATTGCGAGCGCCACGCTCCCGGGGAACTGCAGGCGTCGGAATAAGAACCCCAGGCCAGAGTCCGGGATAGACTCGATCGGAATCCGCGGCGCAACGACCACGTGGCCGCGGTCTGGACCGGTGATAATCAGGACGTTGGCGGACAAAGCGACCGTCACGCACAGCGAGCCGTTGACCAAGCTGGGTGCGTCGAGATTACGCATGGGGACCGGAGCGCCGGCCTTAAGCCGGATACAATGTGCTGGCATGCCAGAAAGCTCGATGCCGTTACGAATTTTGGTGGCCAGCGGCACCGCGTCAGGGTCGGACATACTGTCTACGCTCCTGTACACGTGCTCCGGCTCCTGCGGACGGTCAATGGCGTGATGTGACAATCGATTCTTTTGACGCCGGCATTGAATACGGTGAGGATGGCCCGCTCTTCGAGCCACTCTGTGCCGCCAATCTTTTGCGACAGGACGGGATAAATCCGGGCCGCCAACTCAGCCAAGGACCACGCCGAGCTGCGCACCGCCGGTAGCAGCTTAACATGGTCCTCTGTGTAGGGGCACCGGGGCACCTGGCCGGACCCCAGCCGGCAGAGAAAACGGGCGTACTCGCCCGCCTCGGCGTCCCCCTGCAGCTGCGCGCTCATATTGGTGCGCAGCGTGAGGCACGTCACGTGCTGCCACAGGGGAGACGACTTGAGGTACGCGTCGACAATGTGGCACTTGCCACCGCCCCCGATGACCGGCAGGATTTGCTGCCAGTCGCCCGTGACAACGGTGAGGAGGCCACCGAACGGCCTCTCCGACTCACGCACGTCGCGCAGCGCCGCGTCGACGGCCTTCACCGCCCGCCGATGCACCATTGCCGCCTCATCTCACACCAGCAGCACGCAGCGTCTGAAGTCGTCGGTGGCCGGTGAGCTGTCGCGCGGGTCACAGGTGAACGCGTCGTACAGGTGGAGTGGGGTGTGGGATGTGAGAGCGACAGTGGGCAATCGTGCCGCCGTCCAGGAGGCTGGTGGCAATGCCGGACGACGCCACGGTGATGGCCTCGCCGCCGGCGCCGGACACAGCCGTCAGCAGCAGGTTCTCCAGGAAGGTCTTGCCAGAACCTGCCGGAGAAAGAAGTGCATCGCACATGTACAAGACATGCTGTTCAATCCGCCATCATGTCCGAATGCCGCACGCAGCCGGGAACGGCGCACTGCGAGCGCACATGGCATGGCGAGTGCTTGCGGTTTGGTGCATCATGCTATCGCAAAATCGAAAACACACATGTCCATACTGCTACAGCATTATAGCAAAGCACGTGTGGCACAGCGCGTTAGTCGCACTTGCACGCCGCGACACAATGCAATGGCTGGCAGCAGGCCAGCGAACGTTGCGAACGTCATTGACGACACAGATTACGTGATGCAATCGCAAAATTTTCCGCTTTTGAAAGTGTGGTTGCCTACTTACCTCCCGGTGCCTGCAGAAACATGGGACCACTGTCGCCCGCGTCAAGCCGCCGCATGACCTCGTTGTAGACGACGCGCTGCTCGTCGGTCAGCAGCGGCGGGCGGCCACGTGCGCACGCTGGCGGCCCAGCGCCTCGCCGCCGTCCTCGGCGATCGGCTGGCTTGGAGTGTCGGCCGGGTGCAGCACGCCGACGTCGGCCAGCACCTGGCCGCTGAGGCGGCGCAGATGCCGACCGATGAGGCGCAGGGTCGCGGCGTAGATGAGCCGCATACCAGGTTCGTGCTCGGTGTCTTGGGTGTCCCCGCCGCTGCCGTCGGCTTCGTCGATGTCTTCGGTGTCGTCGACGCCGCCGCCGCCGCCCGCCCGCGACAGCCGACGGCGCACGTCCTCGGACATGGCGTGCCGGAAGGTGCGCCACAGCCGCAGCAGATCGCAGCTGGCGCGGCCTTCGACTGCGATCACGGCGAACAGCCGCCGCAAATGGCGGGGGAAGGCGACGACGGTCACCTCCTCCATGGCCCGGTGCCAGCGCTGATCGTTTTCCAGCAGGCCGTGTGCCGAGCATGCCCCCCTGAAAGTGGTGCTCACCTGGCCGTCTACCGTGCGCAGCTCTTCGTAGGAGCGCGGCCCACGCACGTTGTGGAGGAGTAGGCGCAGGAAGAACGCCTCCCCGGCGCGCGGGCTGACGGCGTAGACGCGGCCTATGTCTTCAGCGATGAAGATGCCGGCAACGTCCGGGTGCGGCGTGCCTCGGCGGCGCCGACGCCAGCACCGAGCTCCCATCTGCCACGTGTGGTAGCGCGGCACACTGTGGCAGAGCAGAGTCTGGGCAAACTCGTCCTCCGCGCACAGCTTGAAGAAGCCGGTGAGCTTGTTGTCGGCGCCAGCGTCCTCCGCCACTTGACGCGGGCTGTCGCCGGCGCGGAAGCGCAGCGGTTGGTCGTCGCCGCCCAGGTGGACGGGCAGCTGCTGCACTGGCGGCTGGTGCTCGTGGACGGGGTAGCCGAGAAGCCGCCACGTCGCTTCCATGGCGTTCAGGTAGCGGCCCTGCTGGTAGGTGACGATCTCGTCGACCACCTCGTCTCCAGTCGACACCCGGAACATCACCTGGTCTCCGCCCCTAGTGACATACTTGATGACGTACCGTATGCACGTAACGGCGTGGGTGATGATCTCCATGTTGACATGGCCGTCCAGGGCGCGACTGAGGAACGGATTGTAGGGCACAAACCACCGGGAATCGACCTCGACGGCGCCGCCCGGCCGGCCGGAGATCCGCGCCGTGCGTCCTCCGCCACGGGGGCTGCGGCGCCGGTATCGGGGGTATCCCGTGTCGTGCACCTCCGTAATGGACTGGAAGGCCTTCGGGAACCGCTTCTTGCACACTCCGTCCACCATGCACGGCGCCGTCGCACGGAGGGTGCCGCACGGTCCGTGTGCCATCTTGGTGGTGACGGTGGCGTGCAGCTCCGGCTCGGCGTCGGCGTCCGGGATCTCGGCGCGCACAAAGTGATCCAGCTGGTCGGGACGCGGCATGTCCTCCGGCGCCAGCCAGAGCACGACATGCGCGTGCGGCAGGCCCCTCTTCTGCCACTCGATGGTGTAGATGGAGGCGCGCACGCGGCCGAAGACACCACCTTGCCGGAGAGTGGTCATCAGTGCCCGGACATTCTGGCGAAACACCAGCGACACGGCCTCAGGATGGTCTTGAGCGTGCTGTCCGGGGTACTGGCGCTCCAGCGTGGCGGTGATCTCCGGCCGCAGCGGGTTGCAGGTGACGGTGATGAACAGGTCCCCGCCACCGTACTCGCACACGTACGCCATGGCGTCGTTCGGCTTCGACACCATGTAGCGTGCGCCGCCGACAAACGTTGCCGGCAGCACGACGCGCCCGATGGCGGCGCCATGCGCGTCACCAGCATTGATCGCGTCCGCTACGCCGCGCAGGGTCTCGGTGTGCACGGCGTCCTGGTGCTGCCGCAGGTAGCACAGCCGGTCCAACTGCACTGGCGGAGGCGCACACCAGCAGCTGCTGGAAGAGCCGGCGGTCGCGCGGCATGATGCTGAAGTGTCCGGGTCTGTAGCGCAGGTGGAACGCGTGGTACTGCAGCGCCGTCACGCCGAGCTCGCGCTTCATCTCGACCGTCACGCCGAGCTCGCGCTTCATCTCGAACGACCACCCGTGCGTGCCGTGCGGATGCAGCAACACACAATGCAGCGGGTGGTAACTTCGATGGCACTCGTTGATGCGCTCCATCCCGCCGTCACGCCGGTGCAGCACGATGTCGCGCACGCCCCTCGGCTCGTCCGGAATAGTCGGCACCCGCCCCCCCCCCCCCCCCCCCCCCCCCCGGTCTCAGGCAGGTTGGAGCGGCGCTCGTGCTCGCCGGGCGGCCGTCGCTGTGCGCTGATGATGATCTTGATGTCATCGGGGGCGTGCTGCACCAGCTCCATCGTCGAGCGCAGGCCTCGCACGTAGGCGTTGCACTCGTGCAGCATGTCCTGGAGCAGCCGCATGACATTCTGCCGCAAGGTGGTGAAGATGTTGGCACGCGTCTTCAGTTCCTGCTCGAATAAGTACAGCTGCAGGTACTGGGGCTGCGCGCCCTCCACCGGCAACAGGCTGCCGACACGGTGGCACACGCTGTCACGCACCGTGAATGTCGGGTTCCAGCCCGGCTGGTGCACCTCCTTGCAGCCCATGCTGGCCAGCTGGAACGCGCTGTTGTACGCCCGCATGTTGGTGACGGAAGTGCCGGTGGTGTGGCGACTCCAGCTCAAACAGCTGGCACAGGGCTGGGGCCGGCGGCGGGAGGTGCGACGGAGCCACCTTGCCGTCGTGGCAGCAGGCGCCGGACGACTCCTGTCGCCAGCACAGCGCGCCGCAGTGGGCGCAGACGGCCCCCACCTGGCCCAGCTGCATTTCGGGCAGCGCCATAAACGTGCCTCTAGCGTAGTGCAGCGCTGCCATGCGCGCGGCGCGTTGCTGCCACGCCTACTGCCGGCCAGCGATAAGGCGGGCGGCGTTCCGCGCGTTCCGCTCCTGCTGCTACGGCGATGTCTCCTGCTGCCGGCCAGCGGCAAGGCGGACGGCGTTCCGCTCCTGCCGCTCCGGCGATGCCTCCTGTTGCCGGGCAGAGGCTGCACTTGCGGCGTTGATGGAGAGCCGTTTCGTCCGTTCTGGTCCAGCCTCTGAGGCCCTCGCCGCCCTCTTCCTTGCCATTTGCCGAGAGATCCCGACGCCGCTTGGTTCCAGTCACGGGCTGCGGCGGCCGCATCGGCAGCGGGCAGCGCCGGGGCGGTGACGACGGCTTCGGGCTGTGGACCCGTCGCCACAACGCCAGGCTCGCGGACAGGCGCAGGCAGCGGCGGCGTCAGCGACGGTGCAGAGGCGGTGGTGACGGTAGCGGCCGCCGCCGCCGCAGCGGGAGGCTCGCTGGTCGCCACACGGCCGTCGCCTGGAAAGGACCAAATGCAGAGTTAATGCATGTAATATTCATACTGATTGCGCTGGATGGAGTCTTCTTTTGAATCTCACACGCCGAGTATTCATCAGAAAGCAATGGCACATTAACAACAGCATGTGATTGGTCAGCCATTGTGCTGTCAGAACCATGCCATACGAAAGGCCGTGGCCCTGACAGAACATTGCACGGGTTTTCGGTAACATGGCGCCCGCACTCGAAGCAATATATCACACCATATGTACGATCACTGCACGCCATTGAAGCGAGCGAAAATTTACGCAAATAATATCAATAGAAATCCAAATCAAGTTGATCGATCATATGTCATACTAATGATTCCTTAGCTTATCACCGCATGTGATTGATTAATATTGTCATTGCAATTGCTATAGAACACGCCTTGTCTATGGGTACAGGCAGCACCACAGACTGGAGGCACAATCAGCATTATAAAGGGCGCCACTGAAGATGCGTCTGCCGCCTGCCTCGCTAGATGGCACTGGACGTTGTGCGGTGCACGATTTCATCAAGGATTAGTCACTGTCAACTCCGCCATCTGTGCCTGCATAATGCCGTGCGCATGTGTCTTACATGGGGCGCGTGGCGCCTAGTCTATTTATGTAATTCTTGTAATCTGAACACCTGCATTTTGGCGCTACACAGTTGAGAAACAATGGCATTCCTAATTGGGGAACACCTGGCTTAATTCACCCGGATGTTACCAGCTTACCTCCAGCTCTCCCGCAACGTATTTAAAAAACAACGGCATTGCTAATAGATGAACATGAGGCTACTTTCATCCGCATTTTAATAAGCAAAGGTCATGGCCATGACAGAACCTCGCGCGGGTTGTTTCTGACGTGCCATGCCAAGTGGAATCCTTATATTACACTGCGCGCTATGACACATTTTTCTTTTTGGCGGGGGGGGGGGAGGGTGGCTCAGCTGGAAAGCAACGGCATTGCTAATCGGTGAACATCAGTCTTATTTCGCCCGGATCTTATTGACTTACCTCCAGCTTTGCGCTATGCTGTTGAGGAACAAGGGCATTGCTAATCGGTGAACATCAGACTTATCTCGCCCATAGCTTACCTCCAGCCGACGTTGATATGCAGATTGACTCTTGAGGCGTCTGATCCTCGCCGGCTGAGGCATCACAATGCAGCGCTGACTGTTGTACAGCGATCGCTCGCCGGTACCGAAAGGATGCCGTCCGAGCCGCAGCGATCGAGGTGCGCCACATTTCACAACGGAAGCAGAAGATCAGCATGAAGGCGCCGCGATTTTGCACAATAAGACATCACGACTCCGCTCGGGAACATTAACTTCAGCACCACCCAGAATTCACCCCTTCATCACCAAAATACACACCGCGATCACCAACTGAATCACAAAACCAAAACAGCCAATGTAGCACCAGAAAGCCGAGATGTGGCACACAACGTGCAACGTGCAAGCCCGTGGAAGAGAAAAAGCATGTGCCACGTGATACATGTGACCGTACCCTTTCGCACCGTACACCTTTTCGTGCCATTGCCGCGTCGTGGCTGCAACCCATCGCCGTCGAGATTCTAGTGCCAGATAGCATAATCTGTGGGAGTTAAATTACGGCAGCCCATCACGTCATCAGACGCCCGTTCGACCTGGAAGCAAACTCCGGCGCCGGCCAAAACACCGAACAACGCCGTTTCCTCGCGGCGCAAAAAGCCGCTGTGACGCCCATCAATCTGGACTCATTTGCGAGCGACATGTGCAATAATGCAATCAGCAAAGGTGTGGTAAAGAGAGACAATGAGCCGGCCAACACGCCTACGTGGTTTTCAAAGCTAACTCACGCATGGTTTTGACTGGCGGCTTGAATTCGGCTTCGGTCTTTCAAACTAGGCCCGTCGCAACAAAAACCACGCCCGCGCGCGCACGGCGACCGCAACGCACAGCGCACCCCCGACCGCCATGCTTGAGCCGAGATCGCCCCCTCTGCCGGCCAACTTCCGGAAAGCCTGAAGGCAGGCCAGAGTTCTCGTTCTTTAACATGAAGCTCGGCTTAATGAACAAAGTCGAAAGCTCGCCGCGCGAATGATGATTTTGACCCTTATCGCACAGGGCGTACGACGGGAGTCGGGACAGTAACTTGACGCTTTCTCGGCGAAAAAAAACCGTCATGGAACCCCTTTGTCTAGGGCCATTTGCGAACGACGTTTTTTGAAATGCGGTCAACCAAATGGTGCATTACAGACAGGACATATCGGCCGACACGCTGAGGCAGCTTTCAACGCTAGATCGCGCATCGTTTTGACAGTAGCGGCTGGTACTCAGTGCCGTTTTTTAAAGCATGGCATCCTACGATTTGTCCTGCAAGTTGCACCGCAACGGTGCGTTGTAGAAAGTCGCAATGCGAACTGAAAATGTAGCCCCCTCAGTCGTGAATGTTAGGAACAAAAATTCAGGCTTCTACCTTTTTCCGTGCCGTGATACAGCGGTGAACGTAAAACTGCATCGAAAACGGCCCGTTTCATCTTGTCAACACGTGTGCGCTGTTCAACACGTGTGCACTGTGTGCACGCTGTTTGGCACTTGGGCCGCCCTCGGCGGGCGGCCATCTCCGCTCGGGCACCGATTGGCAAAAAGTGCGACCACATGCTCAGCGTCGTTCACATTGTGCATTATCCAATCAGCACTTGCGCTGATCAGACCACATTGCAGTCACAACTGCGTATCAACGAAAACGATTCTCTCCACTAGTCTGTTTCGCTCTCAACCCGGCCTCGGCGGACGGCCATCTCTGCTCGGGCACCGATTGGCAAAAGGTGAGAGCACATGCTCAGCTTCGTTCACAATGTGCATTACACAATCAGCAGACATCTCTGCTCGGGCACCGATTGGCAAAAGGTGCGAGCGCATGCTCAGCTTCGTTCACATTGTGCATTACACAATCAGCAGACATCTCTTCTCGGGCACCGATTGGCAAAAGGTGCGAGCGCATGCTCAGCTTCGTTCACATTGTGCATTACACAATCAGCAGACATCTCTGCTCGGGCACCGATTGGCAAAAGGTGCAAGCACATGCTCAGCTTCGTTCACGTCGTGCTTTATCCAATCAACAGACATCTCTGCTCGTGCAACAATTGGCATAAAGTGCGAGCACATGCTCAGCTTCGTTCACACTGTGCATTATCCAACCAGCATATGTGCTGATCTGATCATAATGCAATCACAAATGCGTATCGACGTGGACGAATTTCTCCACTCGTCCGTTTCGCACACGGGCCGATTGGCAAAAGGTTTGGATTGGCACCGATTGGCAAAAGGAAAGGTGAGCCAAGGTGAGCCAAAAAGGACCATATGCTGAGCTCCGTTCACAATGAGCATTATCCAATCAGAAGATGCGATGATTTGACCACATTGCAATCACAAATGCATTTGCATGCTGCCAAATGCATGCTGTCCCACGTGGAAGAAGACAATGTGATTGAATGATATTTTGCGGATATGCCCTTTTTCCTGCGAGTGTCGAAACCGCTTCCTGAGGTTTTCTGCCAACGGTGCGAAGTCTTTGAACTGGGATCGGGAAGACGGATGCAGATTTTGAAGGTGGGATTTTCAACCAAATTGTAATTAGTTCGGTAAATATATTTCATTTTCAGATCATACGATATTGTGTGGAATGGAATACTGCGATCACTTGTAGACTGTGGCTCGTGGTCATCAGTCAAGGTGATATCTTTGCTCCGTTTCCTTCATCCTTATTTTTGTACGCATACCAGCAACATTCTAAAGGATGAGTTGGGTCGAAAGTCGAGCAGACAGCTGAATATTATATCTGCAAACAAAACATGTTCAGAAAATCACGCCTGGCTTACAGAGCATAGATCTCGTACAACCGAAGCAGTCTCATAATCTCTCAAATGAGATCTGACAGCCGCAGTAGCCAAGCGACTGCCGAGCGAACTGGAACTGTCACGGGTTTATCGTAATTCCTCTCTCCCGGCAGCGTCTGAGGGCGGTTAATGTTCTCCGATGACGGCGCCTAGGGGCTGTGGTCCTGCTCCCATGCAGGCAGGGAGCTGGGTGTTGGCACTGTCGACGGCGACTCAGAGGCCTCCGGGCCGCGCGGTGCACCGCGCTCCGCGGCTCCCGAGCGGCACCCAGCTGCCCGGCCACCGGGCCGCGCTGCAGGTAGGCGGCGAAAGCAGGTAGGCGGCGATGGCTATCCGTCCTCCAGGGTATAGCCTGCAGACGGCGCTGGTAGTCAGTCAACAGGTGGCGCTAGTG